TCTGTTTGTTCTTGTTCTCAAATACCTAAAGTTAGAGGAATTTTAGAAACATGAAAAACAAAGATACACATGAGAAAGATAAGACTCATCATTTTGGATGGAATTATGTTAGTCATGTTGCTGATGGACAGTCGGACCATATGAGGAAAATGTTACATTTGTATGCTTTTCAAATTTTTATTATTTAAGGTTTATCTTAAGAAATAATTAGGGAAGTATTTCAGCTATACATGCAAGGTGCTCACCACATCACTACTTTTAATAGAGGGAGGAAATGCCTAGAAATACCAATATTAAGACTAATTTAATAAAGTAAGTTGCTAAGACAAATGACAGTGAAGTAATAATTTTTTTAAAAACAACTATCCACTCACCAGAATAAAAAAGAATTGAGAGATTAACAGAAAAGAGATGTCAACAAAGTTGGGAAAGCAGAAAACAGAGAAACATGTAGAAAAAAGTATGTTGACAGCATTTGAGAAAGCAAAAACTTAAGACCTAAAAGCCAAACAAGACACAAACTGATGAGAATCTCCCCCAAACTGAAACTTGAACAGGGCTAGGAAAGAATAGGACTACTGATAGTGCCCCCAAACCCCCCACTCTCCCCCATCCTGCAAAGCTAAACAATTACCCCCTCACCAATGTCAGCCGGACAATGGAGGTTTCCTCTCCTCTGGAACGTGCGAACTAGGGAGGGTGTGATTTAGATGCCATATCAAAACAAGGGGCTCAGTGTCGCACTGAAATAAGACACCTTCGTCTTGCCACCCCTATGATTCTAGAATAATTACGATCAAGATTGTGTGATACAATTGTGAGGACCACACACGCCTGGGCTCTGTTTCGTCCTGCTGTGCCCAGGGTGACTAAGAGTTGGAATCAACTTGGTAGCATCGTCATCAACAACAACAACAACAACAGATGCCTTGTAATAAAATATGAAGCATAACAATTGTAATCTAGCTATTTAGAGAATGGAAAAGTAGAAATGTTGGAGGCTATGTGATAGAAGAACTCAGCCTTCCTTTTTCTTAGTAGAAACTAAATAGTGTCAAATACTTGAAAATTAAAAATCATTCGAAATCTAGAGACTAAAAGGAAAAGATACAGGTTTAAAATGTTGGACCCGGTTGTGCCTGGGGAACTGGATCAAGAAGGAAGATCAGCAAACTTCTGCCGTTAGTGGGAGTTGTGGTTGCTATTGAGTTGTGGCTGTGGTATAAGTCAGTGTATCCCCAAGTGGGTGCTACCACCCTGTTGAGGTGCTGGAGTGACCCACGGGGTCCCTCAAAAAACAGATCCGTATGCTTAATCCTGGATTGTGGGATACAGGACAAAAGGGTTTGAATTTATAAGGGGCACTGAGCAATATTTTTCTGAAAAAGAAAAATATCTGCAGGTAAAATAAATTTGGGAACCTGTGTTATAAGTCAGTTTGATAAAAGTAAGTATTTGATTCAAAGTTAAATATCTTGTTTTTGTTGACGTCGTGAAAAAGCCCATATTAGCATCTTGAATTTATAAAGGAATTGCATTTTGGAAATATGTATGTAAGGGAACTTTGTGAAGTCCTTGTACAAGTGTGAATGCATTGTTTGTATACTTGGTTATGCCTGCCTACATGTATATTTTACTCTCCTGGGGAGACTATGAATGTTTCACTTCTTTAAAACTTTCCATATCATCTAAATATTCCATGAATATTGTTCTAGGGAGTGGAGGGTAAGAAAAAAACATCTTGATATATTAACTTATATTGTTAAAAAATGCCATGTTTGAATAGGATATGGATTTAATCTTTTTCTTCTTTTAAAAATCATTTTAGTGGGGCTATTACAGCTCTTATAACAATCCATACATCAACTATATCAAGCACATTTGTACATATGTTGCCATCATCATTTTCAAAACATTTTCTTTCTACTTGAACCCTTGGTATCAGAATTTAATCTATTTCTTACCTATTCATTAAACCCACAGCTTGTCAAACAACTTCATTTATACTGCTTGAATACATTTATCCAGTCTCGGGCTCTGTGTGTTGAATTTCCAGAAATGATGTCTGAAGTTATTGCTGCACAATTACCGAAGATCTTGGCAGGGATGGTGAAACCTCTTCTCTTTCATAAAAAGTGAATGTCATTTGTTTTCTTTTATAAAAATTTAACTTTGTGGAATGTCTTGATGTTTTTGTCTGTCAATATTATGAGATCTCTGTTTTTACAATATTCTGCTTAAAGCCTTACATTTATAACATATCATATAATATAGATTCAAAGAATAATTGTGAAGTTCTAACTTTCCTTTTTAAAGCATACTTAGAATTTTAAATGTGTTTTTGTGTAATTGTATTTTCTTTAAGAGCTTATCAGATTGACAAAGGACTAAAATTGATTGCTAAACTAAACTGAATCATATCTATTTTATTCCATATCATTTAGGTGAGCATTTTTAATTTTTGGATCTGAAAAACCTAGAGAAAAGTTATTGCACACAAGAAGACAAAGCTTGTGCTACTTTGAGGTCTTCCCTTTGCCAATATGACTATTTCCAAAAAGGGACCTTTAAGCGGTAGCAAAATAGTTTGTGTATATATATATATTTTTTGAGGAAAAGATTAATAACCTTCATCAATTTTCAAATGGACTTAATAAAAAGAGAGAGAGAAAAATATTTTTCTAAGAACTATTGATGTGTTTCTCCAACTAGGAATCACAGCTCTTATGTCTGAAGGCTGTCTCCCAGATTGGAAACACACATCTCTAAGGGGATTATTAAATACAGCCATATCATTCTGACTAGAGTATTATGGATTTTGTACTCTTTTGCTGACCTTTTAATTTCAGTGGCAAGGGTTTACCTAATCAGTCATAGTGACTAGAATTCCGGAGGTAGAGGACTCTCTAGAGCAACAACTCCAGCCCTTCCTCGCTGTTGTCTGTGGAACACAACCTACCCTCACGGAACTCTTTTTCTTCACCTTCAAAAATGGAGTAATATTTTTTATTTCAAATTCCCCTTTTAGTCAGGGTTTCTTCTCGACAACTTCTCAAATCAAATATTTAAAAGTGGAGAAGGGTAAACGGGAAGGGATAGAGAGAGAGAGAAGGTGGAAAGAATGATGAGAAAAAGAATATTATTCTTTTCTCTGCCTCACAAAGTTAACAAAGTTATTTTTCAGTGAGGCATAATTGATGCATCTCAGGTGGAAAATTTTGAGTGCCTTTATTCCGTTTCTAAAACGGATGCTACAGGAAATTAGATGCTGGTTTAAAACTACATATCCAATTACAATACTACACATCACCCTTACATTTTCTATTATGGTGTGACCTGAAAACGTTTCTTTAGAACACAGACAATAGCTCTCTTCCGAGGTCTCAGAGGACCCTTTCTTTAAACCACATGCATCAGGAAGAAGCAGGTTCACCCACTCTTTCCCACGGTATAAACTGATGAATGCACAGCATTTCCAAGGAAACGGATCATTGTTTTCCTTTTCCAGATAAGACCATTTAAGCCAGTTCTAGGCATTTGTGTGTTAATTGTCATCTTTATGCAGGCAGATCACCAGGTTTTCTGCCCACGGGGCAGCTAGTGGGTTCCGAATGTCCACCTTTCAGTTAGAAGCCAGAACCTTACCCACTGTGCCACGTGGGCTCCCTTTGAACTCTCATACGCCATTGCTCTCAAGTCAAGTCTAACGCATCAGGAACACCTCGGTGGGAGAAGAACTGCCCCCTTGGGTTTCCAAGGTTGTGATCTTTACTGCAGAAGGCAGCCCTCTCCAGTGGAGCTGGTGGTAGATTTGCACCGTGCCTTACACTGAGAGCCACCAGGACTCCTTGGAGGAAAAGCAAACAGCGATTTAAAAACACTTTTTTTAAAAGTATTTGAGTTGGTTATATCCATGATGCAAGTATAATAGGTGATAACACACATTGATGCACATATTTAACATGAGTCTAAACCAAGTATTCTATATAGTCTCAATATGTTTAAAAAGTCTTTCTTAGCATGCCTGTCTACATCTTTTTTCTTTGAATGTGTGTACATTGAAGTAGATCCCTGCGCCTAGTCTTAAGTTCCTCAGTGTCAACACACACACACACACACACACACACACACCTTTCCCTCTTCCACACACCATCGCTCAAAACTCCCTGCTTTCTAGTAGATTCCAATTCAGTGCCATTATTAAGACAGAGTCGAACTGCTCCTGTGGATTTCCGAGTGGCTGGCGGGTTATAGCTACTGGCCTTGTTAACAATTCAACCTACACCCTAGTATGCCACTAGGCTGCACATGCTCGATAGGATGTAGTGTTCTGAAGGGTCTAATCACATAATTTCCTCTCTTTAACTGATATCAATCATTCATTACAGTGATTCTCCTCTGCAACTCTACATTACAATTTCCAGGGGAGATTATCATTGAATTGGTTCACTGTCTTTTTCAATGCTGACACATAGCAGGTACTCAGTTCTGTTCAAGCATCAAGAAGTATAACTTTTATACCTTTGTGCTCCACAATTGTGCATTTATATTTTGTACCAGCCATGCACTTATTTTCACCACCAGTTTTCTCCCTGAATTCCTTCCTTTGATTCCAATCCAACTCTTAGTTCAACCTTCAAACCTCAACTTAAAAATAATTTCTATAAAACCTTTTCCTGGGTCCTACAGGCAAAGATTTTTTCCTTCTTGGACTCACCTGGCATTTTATGCGACCTGTACTAGAGCAGCACATTATTCTACAATTCTGATTCTTCAAGGAGGGAGGCTTTTGAGGTAGGACAATACCTGTTTGTTGCCTGTAGGGTTGAATGCCTGTTTCCTGTCTGCAACATCCATAGATCTCTATTGTTCTTCGGTTCCATCACTCCATAGTCTCTTCTCATGACTTTGTCCCTTTACCTTTCTTGCTCCCTTACCTCCATATCTTCAGGGATATCTTCACCCCTTTTAAATTGCCTCCCTCATCTTCTACTCTGAGACCTCTTCCTGTATTGACTGTACCTTGAGACTAGCAATTATTCTTTATTTATTAAGTGTAACTTTTTGTACCCTGTTTTATGTTTGAAAATTAATTGAATGGAATACTGATTATTTTCATGAAAACATCCACATATTGAATTAATTATTAGGGTTAAGTAACCCTAATTGTTTTGTATTATAGATCTCAATAGAAATATTTCCCTCATTTATTACTTCAACAAATGAATTTCCCAACTTGTATAAGGAAATGTGCTAACTCTTATAGTAAGACTGTGGACTTGAAGGAATACTGTATCTCAGGAAAGTTATAGTCTAGTAGTAGGTAGAAAATCATAGCACCTGGAAAGAGGAGGCAGTCAAACATTTGACTGTGAGTCGAAATATGATATGGATTTGATAGGTGTAACCTATTCCAATCTTTTCTGAGTGAAATGCAGCACAGTGTGAAATACTAACTTTAAAATAAAGTTGCTCCATCATTAAGTCAAGGGTCAGTATCTCATTTGCACTAACACAGCATTTACATGTGGTTATTGATTGGACTATCTTTTATCACCACAAATGTCATCCTAATAAAAGAATTTCAACTCAAGGAATTTGGTGTTTATAGGAGTTATAGCTCCCAGAATGGATTATGTGACATAAGTAAATGTATATTCATGTGTCAAAACAAAATTACATGAACCCTTTAGTCTCAAGAAGTGGGCACAGAGAACTGTCGAATCATATGGCCATTATGTAATCAGATTCTTGCTACTCTGAATTAAAAATTTTGTAATGAAACATATCCTTTTCCATCACCACACATTTGATTCCCAAGATGTTTTTTTGTTTTTTTAAACATCCTGGGTCAGGAGCACAGTTGTTTTGTTGTGGTGGAGGCTGTTTTTACAGCCTCATAAAAATGTCTGCTACTCTTGATTTGGGTTGTGACCCAAAATGTCTAAACACTAGTAATTAATATTTAAGGCTAAGCTTTCAAAAGAAAATAAAACACAATAACTTTTAAAAGAGAACATAACAACACCAAATGGAAAATATCTAATGTCTAAATCTTTTGTCTATTGATTTCTATATACTGATATTTTCATCCCTACATAGTTGTCATGACCTTCATATTCATGTTTACATGTCATGTTATTTCTATCAAGTTTGTGATGAAAACAAATCAAAAGACAGGATATATATCTGAAAATACTTGAAGGACACAGCTGTTAATTTTGAAAAAATTAATTAAATTATTTCCCTTTTAAAAATTTGAGAAGCCATTGAAGAGTGAAGCTATTATACTTCCAGTATCAGTTAATAAGTATTTAAAATTTGACAGTCTTTAATGTTTAAAAACATGACATTTTTCTTAGGCAGTGTCATCATTTAGATATTACTAACAGTCACACTTGACACTGGAAGTACTTATTAGTACATAGAGACTATGAGCATAGCTCCAGTATGTTTCCCATCAAAGCCATACCTTCGTCAGGGTCGTGGATTGTCAGCATGCAGTTTCTCAGATGAGACTTCCTGCTTCTGTAAAGAGCTACAGCCTCCCAAGGCAGTTCTGCCCTGCTCGATAGGGGTGCTGTGAGTCAGGGTCGACTTGGTGGCAATGAACTTTCTGTGAGTTTGGGGGGAGGGATACATAAAGGGCTTCAAAAAGGTTTTGAAAAATAGGAATTAAAACATCATGGAATTTTACCACTAACTTTTTAAGTCCCATAATATGTGGGGGACTTTTAAACGATCTGACATAGGCCTGTGTCCCAAATCTCTGCCTCTTGTAGTAGCATGAACTTGGGGCAGGGGGAGAATCACTTTAACTCTATGATTAAATGTGCCTTTATCAGTTATTTTGTAAAGAAGAAGGACGGAAATGACGTATTCAGGTATTCAGAAATTGTAGCTGCTATTATATTTTCATTAAGTCATAGTTTTAGCTATAAATCAAAGCAATCATATTCATAATTATAAACCCCCCAAACTAGTTACACGATCACTGTCTCCATGTATATATGTTATACTTGATGCCTTGTTTTAAAAATTATAGTTAGACATATTCAATTAATCTCTTTCCCTGAAAAGAAATTTTTTTTTAGTTTGGGGCCTTTTTTATTAGAAATCTAAGGAGTCAGTCACCCTTTCATTACTAAGATAGCCTAGGACTTATGAGAATGGTTTTGACATTTTTAATGTATTTCTTTCAAGTATACAGGACTTGACTAGAACACAGCTCCTTGCCCACCACCAAAATAGATCTATTTGGCATGCTCACATTATTTTTATTATGGTAATAATTCCAAAAAAGAAAATA